CTGGTTATATTTTAAAGGTGGAGCCGAGAGGATTTGCTGATGACTCAGATGTGTGGTATGAGAGAAAGATAGGAGTTAAAGAGGTACCAGATTTTTGTCCTGGTAACTGGAAGAATGGAGTTCAACTTTCTGAGATGAGGAACAAATTTTGGGGCACTATCAGAAGCCTGGTTTTGGACATGTCAAGTTTGGGATGCTTGTTAGATATTCTGTTAGGCATTAAATGAGAGAAATGCCAAAGTGGCAGCTGAATATTCATGCCTGCAGTTCAGAGGTGAGGTCCCAGCTAGAGATAAAATAGGAGAGTCATCAGCATTTAGGTGATATTAAACGTGAGACTAGATGAGATTATTTAGGGAATGAGGGTAGAAAGAAAAGAGGCCCAAGGACTGAGCCCTGGAGCTCTCCATGTATAGAGGTTGGAAAGACAGGGAGAAACCAACAGGGAGACTGTGGAAACTGAGGCACAGAGAGCAGGATTCACTTGAGCTTTCAGAGCCCAGGCAGCGGAGTGAGGACTGTAACCCAAGTCTTCTCTCACTGTGGGCTTCAGAGCTCTTTCTACTGGCCCAAGGCACCTTCTCTCTCATGGCACCAACTACTCCTTGGATTGGAATCCTGCTGATGTCTCTTGCATGGATGTGTTGTTTCATCAAGTCTGAGTAGGAGGTGGATTTTTGTCTATTTTTTTCCAGTGTGTTTGGAGTATTTCATAATTTTAAAATGCACTAAAATAAAAAGACTTAGCGGGAGGCCTAGACTGCCAACATGGATTTGGGCATTGGATATGCAAACTCAGACCAAAGGGAGATGTTGCTGGAGTTGTTTAAAGGAAGGATTCTGTTGTCTTGGATCCCATTGGCAGGTCTCAGCTGTGTGTGAGTGTTTAATGGGCATGGATTAAATAAGCCAGATGGTCCCAGGAGATGGGATTATGTCACAGGACAAATAGCCCAAGGGATGATGAGAGTCCTTGCTTTCAAAAATCAGTTAGCATCTTCTGCACCTTGGGCCTGGACTGCATCTATGCTGTACCCTTCAAATCCCCAGGCTTGCTCTGCTTGGTGCTGGCTGTTGGTTTGGATTGCGGTATCATAACCTCTTACTTTGCAGACCTCTCCACTGGGACTGGCAGATGCTGGTGGGGAGACGTGTTCTCACCCACGCTGGTCTGTTCATCATTCAGATGCCCACCCTGGGCACTGTCCAGTCTCAGCACACCTTCCCCTTGTCATAACACTGCTTTTTCCTAATGCCCCATACCTCCGAGGAGACTCCCTTGGAGGCCGTGGGATCTGTCTATGTGTCGAAATGGTCCTGGCCCTTTTTCCCTGTGATCAGAGGCTCATTGCTGGGAATTGAGTCTGTGTTTTGCATCCAAATGTTGTTTTCCTTATCTTCCTGAAAAAAAAGGCCAACACATACCAGATGCAGGAAATTGTTGTAAAGACCCTATTTGACTCCTTCCCTCAAGTTCAGAGAACCCAGGGCTTCCTTTCTAGAAACAAGCGCTGGTGCCAGAGGGTCACAGAAAGATCAGGGACCTGGAAAGCCATTCCTGCCTTCGGGTTTTGGTCCGTGCCCTCTTTTCTCTCTACTCCTCTACTAATTCACTCTGAAGTATTAGCAGATGTTGGGAATCTGTTAACAGTGGCTTCTGTAGGTCCAGCCCTAGGTCCCCAGAGCCCCAGAAGCAGATTCCTGTTCTCCCTCTCTGCTGGGTTGCCTCACTCAGGACCATCGGGTCTCTCACCTGATGCTCCGCAGTGTCTTAGTCTCCCTCAGTTCACTCTGCATTAACGCCTCATTCTAAAGGGAAAGATGATCACGTCCCTCTTTGGTCCAAAAACCTTAATGTCTCCCCATTCCCCGAACCAATCAGGCTTTTCATGACCTTACACTTACAGCTCTTCCTGAGTGGTATGATGTTCTTTCCCCCAAGCTTTCTGTCTCTCCAGGGACACCATGTCACTCAGTTTTCCCCAAATACCCCATGTTCTTTCAGAACATGCTTTCTCTTACGTTATTCTCCAGTTCCTGGGACACTTTTCCCTTCTTTGGCTTAGTACTGCAAAGTAAAAGAGCACTGTTATTTCTAGAAAAACACTAGTGCAAAAATGTCTTAATGATGGTGTTGCTATGGAGAGTCACAAAAAAGTTCTGGGTTGTGGGCTACGTCACCAGGGCACCCATCTCATTTACGTCCCTTACCAGCTGAGTGACCTGAGCCAAAGACCCACACTTGAGGAATGGAGACTCCCACCATTCTTCAGGGGTTACGTACTGGCAGGATAGCCTGGAACAGTGGCTCTCAAACTGGATGCACGTTAGAATCACCTGGGAATATTTTAAAAGCCTCAATGCTCAGGCCTTACTCCAGACTGATTGTATTTGAGTCTCTGGGGATGGGACCCAGGCATCGGTCTTTCTTGAAACTCCCCAGGTGATTCCTGTGTGTGGTCTAGTTTGAGAACCACTGGCGTAGTAGTTGAAGGATTGGGCTCCAGAGACCATCAGAACTGGTTTCAAATCCTGTGTCCCCCATCTCCTAGCTGAGAGATCTTGGGCCACATTTTTAAAAATGACACATTTGTTTTAGGAATAGTTTTAGAAAAAGTTGTGAGGGTGGTAGAGAAGGTTTCAACACACCCTACCTCAGTTTCCCATGTGATTAACATTTTACATTAGTATGGTGCTTTTGTCACAATTAATATATTAAAACCATTATTGATATTAAAGTATTATTATTAAAGTCCACACTTTATTCAGATTTTCTTAGTTTCTACCCAATGTTCTTTTTTTCTACCCAATGTTCTTTTCTTAGTTTCTATCCAATGTTCCATCCAGGATGCCACATCGCTTGTAGTTACCACGCCTCCTGCATTCTGCAATAGTGTCCTAGGGCTGGCATAGCAAAGCACCCAACCTGGGTGGCTTAAAATAACAGAAATTTGGTATTTCACAGTTCTGGAGGCTAGAAATCAAGGTGTTCCCCCAAAACCTAGAGAATCCTTCCTTGCCTGTTCCTCGCTTTGCTGGCAACCCTTGGTTGGCATCTCTTGGCTTGCAGCTGCAGGGCTTCAATCTCTGCCTTCATCATTACATGGTGTTCCCCACTCTGTGTCTGCGTCTCTTCTCTTCTTGCAAGGACACCAGTCATATAGAATTAAGAGCCCGCCCTACTCTAGTATGACTCTTCTTAACTAATTACATCTGCAATGACCTTATTTCCACATAAAGTCATATTTGGAGGTACTGGGGATTAGGACTTCAATGTGTCTTTTTTAGGGACACAATTCAACCCATTATAGGCTTATTTTGGCTATGACGGTTTCTTAGAATATCCTTGTTTTTGATGACCTTAACAGTTTTGAGGAGTATTGGTCAGGTACTTTGTAAAATGTCCCTCAGTTGGAATTTGTCTGATGTGTTTCTCAAGATTAGCCTGGGGTTATGGGATTTGGAGAGGAAGAATACAGAGCCATTTTTATCACAGCATATCAAGGTCACATACTATCAATATGACTTGTCAATGTTAATATTACCTTGCTTACCTGGCTGGGGTAGTGTTTATCAGGTTTCTCCACTGCAGAGTTACTGCTTCCACCCCCCATACTATCCTCTTTAAAAGGAAGTCACTATGTGCTGCCAACACTTAAGGAATAGGGAATTATGCTCCATCTCTTGAGGGCGGAGTATTCACATAAACTATTTGGCATTCTTTTCCATGGGAGATTTGTCTATTCTGCCAGTTTATTTATTTACTCAATAACTTATTCATATAAGTACGTCCTCATGGATATTTATTTATTTTCTACTTTGGGTTATTATTTAATACTACTTATTTTTTGTTGTTGTTGCTCAAATTCCCAGCTTTGGCCATTGGACACCATTGGCTCCTGTATCCCCACCATTATGGGTTTTTTGAGCATTTCCTTACTTTCTGGCACAAGATGCTCCAGGCTCAACTTGCATATTTCCTGCCCCAGTCCTAGAATTAGCCATTTCTTCAAAGAGCCCTCATTACTTTTTCGGACAATGATATTAAAAACCAAGATCTGGATACTAGCTGTGTTGGTGTTGGTGCTTCTAGGCTGGGCCACATTTTTAACCTTGCTGTGTTTCAGTTTTCTCACCTATAAAATGGTGATAAGAATAGTACTTTCATCACAGGTTGCTGTGAAGGTTAAATGAGAGAATGTATGTGAGAGCTTAGTGCAGTCTCACCTGAATAGTAAATGCTCAAAAATGTGAGTGATTATTATTTACCATAGAACTTTTATATTTGAGCTAAGTTTACAGTTTCCCAAGTTCTTTCCCATCAGTTAATTCATCAGATTCAAGAACCTCAGACAGGGATAGCACAAAGATTATTCTGCCAGTTTACAGATGAGAAAACTAAATGGATAAGGGGTCAGCCTATGCTGCACTAAAACCTAAGTCTCTTGATTTCAAGACTCATTGTAGGCCAAGATTGGCTACCAATTCTGTCATATGAGGAGTTTAGATTTCCACTCCCTGACTCTTGCCTGCTTCTTGCTTGAAGAGCTTCTTGGTGTTGGTGCTTCTTGGATTCCTGCCCCCAGTGAATGAGATTAACTCATGGAAGAAGGAAAATATATATTCCAATCCAGAACAGACTACTCATAGGCATGGTGCCATATTTTCTGAACCAAACATTGAACACATGATCAAAATTGTTTTTTTTCTATTCTGGTATGAGTGGCGTTCAGTAAGTGTAATTTAGATCCTGAAACATTGACATTCTGGGACATTATAATAATTTACAGGAACAATAGGACAGCGTATTTAAACAGAACTGACCTGAAAACCCAAGACATGCTTTTTATCTATAATACAATCTTCCCTTCATAGTCTCTTTCTCTCTCTCTTCATAGTGCAGTGATCCTAATCAAATACGCAAAATGTTGATAAATGAAAACAACTCACCAGAATCATCAGTGCATGAAAAACATAGAAGCCAAATAGGGAGCTTTGACTGAATGCAGATGTTTATTGGAACAAATGTGTAGTTTCCCATAACAACAACAGCTTCTGCTGTTAATAAAATCTGGGCATGATTGTTATTGTTAATAACAGCATCATGGTATGAAATCGTAGCTTTAGTTACACAAACTGTATTCTAGGGAGGTGGATTTTGGTTGCATAGAAGACAGACCTTTTTAAGAGGCAGCACATTTTAAAGTTGGAATGGGCTACGTTTGGAGGTAGTGAATTTCTCATCACTAGAAATGCTCAAGAATGAGGTCATGGAGCTAGATAAGGTGATCCTATCAGACATGCCAACCATTTGCTTCTGTGACTCTATGGGAGATTTGGGCTTCTTGGACCTGAGCAGCAGTGCAAGAGCTGGAACATCTAATAAATATTTGTAGAATGACAGGGAAGCCTAAGTTTCATGGCCTGTTTAAACATTTTCTCAGAATAAGGATGAAGTTGCAATTGGGGAAATAAACAGAATAAACTGGGTCCAGCCAGAAGTCATTATCCATACATCAATCCTGAAGCTGTTTTGAGTTCTGTTTAGTATTCTAACTTTAAGGAGAAGGGCTCTCTTAGATGTTGGTTTTGATCCCAGAACACTGGTCTATGCACATGTTGTTTTTGTGAGAGGAGGTGGTATAATCCAAGGAAAGCTTGAGTGGACATTGATTCTTGTTCTCCCTCCATCTGGAAGGCCTCCCTCTGTCTTACCTGTGGAAATGCCCACCCTCCTTAACACTCTGCTCCAGCACCATCTCCTCCGGGAAGCCTCCCTGGTATTGCCTCCTCCATACCTCTGTACCAGAATGGACTTTCTTCTGCTTCCATGCCTCTCCAAGACATAGCACTTGCTGGGGTTCGTTCTATTGCACAGTAGTCACTTACTTCTGAATCATATATCTCCCTCTAGGAGTTTCCAGAAGGCAGGAATTGTACTCTCCTCATCTGGTAGTCCCCATAGCAGCCAGCACAGCCTGGGACATGGCAGTACTGTGAAGTAGTATGATATCTTGGAATTCCTTGTGGCAATTCCAAAAGTTGCATCATAATTCTTTGGCATTTAAAATAGAGCTCCAGCTTGCTTGACTAGTGTCTGATGGAATTGGGTCCCATTGCCATGTTTTCTTTATAGAATAAATAGCAGGGCACAGAGAGGTAGAACCAACTTCCTCACAGTACTAGCGGCAGGCTGTGGATTGCTGTCCCTGAGTGTTCAGCCTAGGGCCTAATGCCCATAAGTTCTCATTCTTCATTATCTTCCTCTTTCAGCAAGAGACCAGGAATGACTGCAGCAGCTGCATAAGGTCAAGAGCTAAAATCCCCCATGAAGACCAGTTTTGATAGAACAGAAGACAGGAACTTGGGATCAGCCCTCTTGATCCCTTTGAAGGGCTTATATCTTGGTGCTCGGGAGGGGATAAGGTCTACGGAAGCTTCCTGAGAGAGGATGGGGGAGGCATTCTGCTTGGGAAACATTTAGGACCTTACAGGGCTAGGGAGTTCAGGGTGAGGCACAGGGGTGAGGAGTCAGGGGAAATGGCTGTGTGGGGTCAGCGGTGGATGTAGCGAGGGAGAGTGCAGGGACATGAGCTCTAGCCTGTTAGGACCCACCCTGTGCAGCCCAGGTTCCCAGGAAGGGAAGGAGGCTAGGGCCCAGAGTGAATGCTCTGCTTAGTAGTAAGGAAAGACCCCTTGGCCAGCACTTAGCCTGGGCCATATCCTTGGGAACCAGCATGTGATGGATGGGGGTGGGTGCTGCAGGAGCAACAGTAGTATCTTGTCTGTATCTAAGCCCCTTGGAACCTAATGTAATTTTTGCCTTTCGGTTACATTGGCTTTAACTCATCAGGGAAGAAAATGGCCTCATGAGACCCTAGATTGTCAGAGCTGGGAGGTCCTTTGAGATGAGGGGAAAGGACTTGCACAGGGTCACACAGGGAGCTGGGGGCAGAGCCAGCTGTAGAACCAGGTGTCTGCCTCCCCAATCCACCATTCCCAGGCTCCTCTGCCCCTGCTTCTCTCAGGCACTCTCCCAATTTGGTATCTAGCTCGTGTTCACAAGTATGTTGCTAAGGGACATGCCATGGGACTAAGAACCTTGTCTGTTTCACTTCTTTATGAGGGGAGGGTGGGGATTGGAGCTGGGAAGGTTGCATAACGGCAAGCAGCATAGAGCATCTGGGGGCAGATGAAGGAGCGGGTCAATGTTGAGGTGTGTCCCTAATCAGCTCTAAAACCCAGCCAGGAGTTTGTAAGAGAACTTGGTCTGCCTGGTAGACACATTGACCTTCTGCTACATCACATTTATTGAACACTTAGTTTATGCTATGCACTGTGTTAAGTGCTGCACACCTGGCAATTAATTTCATCCTCATCAGACTTTTATGAGGTAGGTAGGGTATGCCATTTCCGTCTTACGGATGAAGAAACTGAGGTTCAAAGAGGTGAAGTCACCAGCCTAGCATTGCAAAGCTGGTGGTAGAGACCAGACTTGACTCTGTTCTGACCACTCTGCTGCTCTGCCTCCTTATACAGAGTGAATGGGGGCGGGGATGCCCCTCTATTGCCCAGCAATGGGTGGGCTGAATTAGGGAGGTGAAGGGCCAGGGGCAGAGGAAGGATGGCCGGCTTGCACCAGATAATTATTCTCTGCTGCTGACTGACCCGCAGGCGGTGCTGGGGCTGAGGAATCGAATTCAGTTCCTCAGGCTGGTGATACTCTGGATCCAGCCCTTGTGGTGGTGGATGTAGGAGTACACTCCGTAGCGGTCCTTCTTCCCACAGTCCACGCCCCAGGACACCGTGCCCACCAGGTACCACTGTCCTCTTTCTCTATCCAGGGTCACCATGGGGCCTCCAGAGTCGCCCGCACAGGCATCTTTCCCCCCTAGATGAAAAAGAGATGCAGACTGTAGTAAAATGTCCCTTCCCCAGCCTTCTCGCACGTCTAACTTGTAGTTCAGAGAATTGGGCACTAGAGGGCGCAGCAGACTGTTTGACTCAAACCTGGGCTCCACGCAGCGCTAGGTCGGCCTCCTAGGAGCTCAAAGCGATTTTAGAAAGTGCTGGTTCAAGCCTCTCTGTTTCAGATGGGAAGCTTTGGGCTTGAAAGGGCAATGATGGACATGCCTTAGAATTCTCTCTGATGCATCTTCTCCAAGGGAATCCCTCCCCCATCACCTACCCCGCCCTCCGCCCCTGCCCCCTACATGCCAGCACCTACCCAGCTGGGAGGTCTCCACTCCTCCCTGGCTGGCAGTGCCCCTATTACATGCCAGACTCTTAACCCACCTTCCTTCTCCCCAGCACAGATCATGTCCCTGGTCACTTTTCTCTTCAGTGGGGCATAGGCCTCCTGGCAGGTGTGGTGGTCAACAATCGGGATTTCAATCTGGAACACAAGGCTGTTATTTGTCCCATCCTGGCCGAGGAGTCCCTGCTGTCCTGACTCCGCTGGAGCTGGCTTCTCCCTACCCCATACCTGGAAGGGCCTGGGTCTACCTGAGACTTGGTTTCGGAAACTGCCCTATGGTACAGGTGAGGGAACAGTTGGACAAGAATCAGGAGACCCATGTTCTGGTGCAGTCTCAGCTATTAAGACCTCAGCTGTGTGAAATCAGGCAAGTAACTTTCCCTCTCTGGGCCTCAGCTCTCTTATCTGTAAATTGCACATAATAATACTTGCCTAGGAGATGCATTATTTCAAATACATATACAAAAACCACGCTCAGTTTTCTTTTCTTTCCTCCCACCCCCACTACAAGACCTGAGGCATGCCGCTTAATCATTGATTTTCAGACCTCTGAGACTCTGTTTCCTCATCTGAGAAATGGAAGCGCAGTATTTGACAAAATAATCACATGCTAATCATTAATCACTGTACAAAGAGGAAATGAATGAACAAGTGCTTTGTAAACTACAAACACTGTATGAATATTAGGTGTTTTACGGGTTGTCACTGTTTGCTTTGCAGCAAGAGCTTACTTATATTGTTTCCCTCACTACAGGATGAGCTTCTAGACACTGGGTCTGCATCTTGTCCATTTCTCTCTTACATTGCTTGGAACATAGAGGGTACTCGGGAAATATTTTTTTTGAATTGAGGCAATAAATTGATACACATAAAAATGAGGCATTGTGATTATTATTGTCCTTGATTCAACATGGGGGTAAATGTTGGAGCAAATATCTAGAATAAAAAGAGGAAACATGTGAGTCCCATTCACCCAAACCACAAACTGAATGGACCATATTCCCCAAATGTATAACTCTTGTTCCCTTGCTGGGCGGTAGCCAGAGTCCATTCAGATCCCTCTTGGACTATGGCCTTCCCCGGCTGGATATGTGGAGAGAAGCAGCCAGGGGAGGGTAGTCATGACGACATGTCCTAAGCAAACATTGACTACCCCATTAACCTTTATTCATCGTTCAAGTGTGATTTCAAGTGTCACTACCTTTGGGAAGCCCTCTTGAACCCCCACGATGAGATCAGGACCCATGTTATATGTTCTGGAGCATGCCACACTTCTCCCTCATCGCCTTTATCCACACATAGCTATTTTCCATCCATCCCGTTTGATTGTAAGCCCAAGGGGGCCAGGGACCAGATCTGGCCTTTTACCTCCCAGCACAGCTAGTAGCTAGTACTGTGTCTAGTACACAGGAGGCACCAAATAAACTCCTGGGAATTAGTGAATGAAGGGATGCATGGTTGTTAGTCATAGAGCATGGTGATGTCAGAGCCAGGCAGCTTAACAGACATCTAGTGTTGCCATGAACTTTGTAGTTTGAAATAGTATCCTATGGTCCGGAGAGGCAAAATGACCTGTTTCAGATCACCCAGCAGGTTAGTAGGAGTGAGGACTTGGAGCCATGGCTCCTATTGCTAGTTTGGTGTTCTTTTCTGAAATGACAGGAATGTGAACTTCTGAATGCGATAGTCAAGTTCATTACTGTAAGGACTGCAGTTCTCGAGAGCCTGGCTCATTCTTGGCTAATTTGCTATATAGTCTTTGTGGTACATAGATGGATTATGACCCTTTCAGGTGTCTAAACCTGTGGTTTTCTTGGAGAATTTCCATAAACTGAGCATTTAATAAGCTATCAGGAACACTGATCATTGTTTAGAGACTAGAGCCCATGACATGTAGAACAAACAAATCAAGCTTTCTGGGGTTCAAAGTCCCACTGAACTTTGGAGGTGAGTCCGGGCCCCTGGCATCTCTCTTACCAACCCCTTCCCAAGCCTCCAGATCCCTAAGGGGGCAATGTGGAGCAGGAAGGCCCAATGCAGGTTCACTGTCTGTAGGGTATAAAATGAACGTCACCTCCATCAGGGTCTCTGGGAACCTTTGCAAGAACTGCTTCCCCCAGCCACTGACGATGACCATGGCTCCTGGAAGAGAGAAGACACTGTGAGAACAGAGAGGCTGTCTGTGGGGTTTCCAGAGGGTTATATCTTGCAGCCCTATCATTCTCTATCTGTGGAGAAAGGGCCAACTTGTCCCCCTTAGGGAAGGGTAGCATGGTGGGGAGGGACACAGGAAAGGCTGCTGGGCTGGAGGTTACCTGCCACAGAGCTGGGGACACTTATTGCCTGGTTTACCTGCTTAGTTGTCTCTTCCCTCCAACCCCCAACTAGCATGGAACGTAGGCCCCATGAGAGCAGTAATCTCTTCTATCTTGTTCAATGCTGTGTCCCTATGCCTATAACAACGCTGGCATATAGTAGGTGCTCAATCAATAATAGTGAATAAATACAAAGCCCAGCCTCCTCAACGATATGCTGTGCTGTCTTCAGCAAGCCCTCCTCCCCTCCCCTCTTCTAAGCCTCAGTTTCCCAAAATGAAGATGTTGAACTCAGTATTTTCTAAACCCCAGCTTTGATATTTTAGAAGTCCATGAAGTTGGCCAGTTGGGTGCAATGTGGAAATGGGTTGAGCACTGATAGAGCAATTATTTTTTTATTTGAAATAGAACCTGGATACTGAAAACAGCCTGAGCTTAAAGACAGAAAATCTGCACTATAGTCCAAGATCTGCTCCATATAAGCTGTATCCTGGGTGAGTCACTTCACCTTGCTGAGCCTCAGTTTTCTCATCTGTAAAATGAGGCCACAGTGCCACCTTGCGAGGCTTTCATGAATAGTAAGTTGATAAATATAAAGCAACTGGCACATGGTAGGCACATGGCACCCAGTGAGGCAGAGCCAGCTGTACCTGTGCCTTCCCTGTTGGCTCAATCTCTGTAAGTAAATCTCAGGGTTCCATCGTAGCCATTTTTTTTTCATATTTGAGCTAAAGGAAGTGAACTATGACATGGCACCACTGAATTTATAATGAAAAGGAAGGCAACTGGCATGGGTTGGACCCTTACTCTGTGTTGGATATGTCTAACTATATTATCTCACTTAAATATCACAACCCCCCGTGGGATATTATCTCCAGTTCTTCCTCAAGATCACCCAAGTAGGAAGCGGCAGCAATGGGGCTTGAGCTCATTTTGGTTATTAAGCCTTTGTCCCTCAGCTCTAGACTTACTCTTCTATACTTTGCTCCATAGTGCTGTGGATGGGACCCTGACCTGGCAGTTCTGCTTTGCTAGCTGGTTTCTTGAAAATAGGGGCACTTTCAGGGAGATTGGAAGACTTGCTGTGACTGTTGGTGTCACCCTGGTAATGGTTTTTCATCCCAGTAGTGGCAGTTGGTTCCAGCTATTTTCCTCAGCACATCAGTCTCTTCTGCAGAAGCCTAAGTCCTGGCTCCATAGGGCCCCTTTTCCAAGCTTCTAGGTTCTATAACTCCAGCCTCTCACTTTTGTTTCCCCAGCCCTGGGGTTAGTGGCTTCTTCCTACAGGCACTATCTCTATTATCTCAGCTTTTCCCTTTCACTTATCCAGTCCTCTAGTACCCTGTATTAAATTCTCCCTGTTATGATAAGTAGTCCAGGTTTTGTTTTCCCATCTGGACCTTCAGGCCTACCTGTTTACTGTGTGCTTCCCACTGCTTCTGCTACCTGGGGACCAGTTCTGACGTGGCTGTTAGTGGGGAGGCAGCTGGTGCCATGCAGACGCTGTAGGCTGACTCAGCTGGCACCAGGGCTTCACCAGCGATGGGGAAGATCTCCCTGCTCAGGCACCAGCTGCTCTGCAGAGGTGGGATCGGGTGGGGGAGGATACCTTCCTGCGGGGTCTCCTCGGGCAGACAGATGGGCATCACAAATTGATTCAGCCTCGGGCTGTCCAAGAGCTCCACCAGAGCCACATCGTTCTCGAATGTTTGGGGGTCATACAGGGGATGGAGGATGACGCGTTTGACCCTGAGATGCTGTTCACTTTCATCTGACCGGATCCTCCAGTGCTTGCCTGGGTAAGAAGAAGGCACATGAGGCATGGGAGCAATGGAGGATAAGCTTCCCCCTTGTTCCCCATCAGCCCCCAATCTGGGTCCCATCCAGCCCATGCTTCCAGCCTTAACCCTTTAGTTGCCCTTCACCCATCTTTCCCCAGCCATCCCACCCTACTTGCCATTCCCCACATATTCTCACAGGTTCCCACCTCTGTCTTACCTCATGAGCTGATCCCGTTGCCTTATAATGCTTGTTCTTATGCCTGTTGCCACATGTTCAATCCATATAATCACCCTCAGTGCCTGGGTCACACGTTGCTTTCTCCATAAAGCCTCTAAGATTTTTCATTAGAAGTCTTTTCCTCTATGAGCTCCCATGGCACTTTATCTGTTCCCCTTCTACAGAACTTACTGTTTCCTGCCTTCTATTAGAGGTCTCTGTGCTCATATCTTATTCCTTTATTAGACTGTAAGCTCCCTGTGGGCAGGAACTAGGTCTTAATTATACTGCGTCCTTAGATGTTGGCATAGTGCCAGTAAGTAAATATGTGTTGAGATGAGTTGAATCAATTGGTGGTCTTGATTTTATAAAGGAGAGGGGAGTCTGGATTGTATATGTGTGATCCATTTGAAACCATGGATTCACAGGAGCCAGAGAGCCTTTGGAAATTACCTAGACTGGGCTCCTTACTTTACCCTTGTGAAAACTGAAGCCTAGACTTCAGTGACTTGCTCATGGTCACATAGCCTTGGACTTGGACTCAGGTACCTGAACCTTCATCCCAAGTGTCCTGGCCTGACAAATGAGTGAGCGAGCGAGTGGGCATTCCTTGGAAAATGGCAGCGGTGTCACCCCGTTCCCAGAACCATACCTGGCTTTGGGAATCAGCTGGCCCCTCACTCACCCATGATGATTTTGAAGTCAGAAGGGCTGAGCAAGTCTGAGTTGTGCAAGGTTGGGTCCTCTGGATCCAGCGACTGGTGGAGGCAGTGAGCGGCTGTCACAATCCAGCTGGAGCCTGGAGAGCGGGGCATGTGTACACTCTGCCCTGCACTGCCGGGTCCCGCCTCCCCTGTCGGGAGCTGAGGACCTTCAGACTGCTCCAGGGCACCCCTCCAGACGCTGCCAATGGCCACGCCCCTCCATGGTATTTTGCAGCCCCTACCCAGACTCTCGTAAGATCCCAATCTGAAGGTGAAGAGTTAAATCTGTGATGTCAACTGCCTCTTCCAAACCAGGTCAGGACTGGACATTTTAAAGAGGGTTTCAGGGATCCCTTAAACCTGTGTTGCTGGTAAGCGCCAGATAGCACAAGACAGGTGCACAGAAACCCTGTGCTCAGGGGCTGCCCCTCAGTCCTTGCTTCTCAAAGCGTGGTCCCTGGGCCAGCAGCACCAGCATCACTGGGAGTGTCTTAGAAACGGAGACTCTTAGGCCCCCCTTGCATCCTCTGAATCACAGTCTGCATCTTAGCAAGATCCCCAGCTAATTCCTATGCACATTAAAGTTTTAAAAAGTACTGATCAGTAGCTAGCTGTACTGGCTGCAAATTGGAATAATCTGGACAACGAAAAAAGAGAAAATCAGTTTCTGGGCCTGGATCCAGACCATTTAAGTCATGGGGGTGGAGCCTACGCACAGGTAGGTTTTCAACATTCCCTTAGGTAATTCTCCTGCTGCCAGGACTGAGACCCACTGCTCTGATCCAAACCTCTCATTTTATAGACGTAGACCCTGAGGCCTGAAGAAAGCAGGGATGTCCAGGGTCAGCCAGCAGGTTAGTGGCAGGGCCAGGCCCAGGCCCTGGGTCTCCTGGTGGTCGGCCTGGTACATTTCTTGTGTCTCGACTGTCTTCTTCCCCCGGACAGACAGGCACCTGCCCTGTGTTTAATGCAGGGCCAGCCTTCCATCATCCTTTGTCTGGAGCAGATGACAAGCCCATACGTAGCTGAGCACAGAGGCACACCCAGGATGAGCCAAGCAGAAAGGAAAGTTCTAGGACTTGGTGAGGGGGCAGAAGGTCATAATTCGGAGTCGAGGGCAGAGGTACCTTTCTGGAGCAGGTTCCAGGCTCTGCTTGGCCCTCTCAGCAGCAGCTGTGTGCTCTGGACAGAGCTCCACTCAGCCACCCTCTTTCCCCCAAGGCACTTTGGATCCCTGTCTGTGGCCAGGGGCTTTTGGCCAGAGTTCCCAGGTGGATCAGGGGGGCGGAGGTACCCAGGTTAGGAGGGCCTGCCCGAGACAGGACTCAGGCTGTTTAGATGAGCCAGGCTGTGCAGTGGCCCGTCTAGAACGGCTTTGCCTCCCAGCTCTGCAGCTCTCTGTGCCGGTGTCAACACAGTGCTTCCCCACCCCCTCCATCCCTCAGCTGTTCCCCTGGTTCCTCTGCCCTCTCCTCTCCCTCCCTGCCTCTACACCACTGAATAAGAGGAGGAGGAGGGAGACAATAGATCAGGAGCGCTGTGGGGAGGGTGAAGTGTGGAACCTTTAGCCTGGCTGAGGGTAGAGAGGTGAACTTCAAACACCCTTGAAACATAAGTCATAGGGAAAAAACATGCAATAAATGCCAATACATGTTGAACGTTATTGAACTTAAAAACTAGAGATTTAAGAAAACTAATTTAATTCTTAAAACTGGGTGCCCCTAATTCATCTCTCCTATTTCCCTCCTCACAAATCAGAGCTGTCTGGTGCCTCCCCTCCTCCGTCCTGGCAGCCGTGTCCTCAGCACCTCTGCTTCTCTTCTGCCTCCCACTCAGGTCCTCCCTCCCTCTCTGTCTGTCCCGATTTCCTCTCTCCTGACATCTCCTGCCCACCAGTCTCTCTTCCCCTTGTATTGCTCCCTTTCGTTTTCCTCTTATTCTCTCTTCGGTGCCGGCTCTTATTTGCTAGGTCTCTCTCATTACTCTCTGTCTCTCTTTCTCTCCTCTCTGTCCTTGTCCTGCTGACTGTCCCTCTGCCCCCTCTCTCTGCTTATCTCCCTTCCCCTTCCTTTCTCGGTCCTCGCCCCTGCCCCGCTCCCCACTGGGCTGCCTTCGGCCCTGTCTGGCCATATCCCCCTTTAATACTGTGCTCTTTCTCCTGCCTCTTTGGGAGGCCCCATTGAGTGAGACTGTTCACCTTTGAGCTTGTGGAAATACAAGGATCAATTCCCTGCAAAGGGAGGTTTCACACATCCCTGCTGCCCCCGACTGCAGCTTTAGCCCAGGCCTGGTGCCTCCCCAAGGGGATTACTGCCCTGGAGGTGTCCACCCCTGGCTGCAGTCTGAGGAGGGCAATGCTGGGTGACAGGTGTGCCCAGCAGCCCCGGAGCTGCCCACACAGAGGTGGACCCACCCAGGCCTTCTTCCCTGGTGGTGGGATCATACCCAGAACTGGCCTGGGACTCTAGATTTGCTACTAGTTTTTCATGCAGTGTCAAAGCTGGAGCAGATGTAGACCATCTGGACCAACCGTGGCAGGGAGAGCCATCAGCTATTCCTTTCTCACCCTTGCTCCCACCCACACCCCATCCAGTAGTACGAAGGTGGCAATCCTGTTTCCCAGTGCTTTTGAATCTGCCTCCTTATTTCCATCCCTCATGCCCTGTTCTTATTTAAAAGCTAATGACTTCTATCTCTGCTCCTGCAATAGACTCCTCACTGAACTCCTGGCCTCCGGACTCACTCTCCTTTTGATCCATGGTGCCTCTGGGGAGAACTTTCCAGAACATGCTTACATACCTACAGCCACATTCAGGGCAAGATCTAAATTCCTGAGCATAGCATTCAAGGCCTTTGTATAATAAATCTACCTTCCTGACTCTCCAGGGGTGAGTTTCCTGGTTAGCCTTGATCCTGAAGCCCTGGCACACCCTGCCTTTGAGCCCCAAGTAGGTGTCTTGTGCTGCAATTCATGGCTGGGAGTCTGACTGCCTGGCTTAGACCTTCCCAGTGCCAGAGACTGATCAGGATTCAGTAGCTATCTGTTGACTGAAAAAATCAGTAAGAGCAGGAACACATGTCTCATGGCTCCAGTTAAGGACTCTTTCTACCACACTGTACTGCTGGGCCCTGACACCAGTGGGGACAGTGATTCTCAATGGAGAAAACTTGGTCCGTCTTTAGGAAGAGGGTTCGGTGCCTTAGCTCCCACCCTTCCACCTTCTCCTTACCTAGAAGGGAGCCCCCACAGAAGAGCTGCCCATTCGGCTGTGACAACATGGCAATCCACGGAGTGGTGCCCTTCTGGGCTGGGCGTCCATTGAAGATCCTGGCCATCAGGTTCCGGGAGAACTTGGGGAGCCCACACACTGCAGCCAAGGGAGGGAGGGACAGGTCACACTCTGGGCTCCTTCTTGCCCGTTGCCAGAGCTACTAGCTCATTGCCCTGTTGGGATCAGCTGTTATTTTTGATCTCCCAGCACCCTTTGCCCCTTCTGATTATAGCACCCTAATTTTTCTTTGTGATTTTCACTTTCCCCATCCTTAATCTATGCAGCCAGAGTTGGAATGACCTCATCTCTGGGCTCAGGGATAGGAATGTGAATGATCAAGGCCATGTACCCCTTGGTCACAGCAATTGCTCAGAGATGGTTACGTAACCTTGGCCAGGCCAATGAAAGCGTGACTTGGGAATTCTGCTAAACATATTAGAAAAAAAAAAGTCATTCTCTGCTTGGGTTGCTAAGCTGTTGGCTATAAGCCAAGATCTGTCAACAATCACTTTATGGAGAGTCTTCTGAGAACGATGCAGCCTACCAACGTAGAGGAAAGTGGAGCTGAAAGATGAGGGGTGTAGCAAGCGAGAGAGATTATTTCCTGGTAGTTAAGTCCTTTGATCTAACCATACCTGAAGCCTTTTGGTATGATCTTTTCAGTTATGTGAGCCTATACATTCTCTCTCTGTCTCTATCTCTCTCTCTCCCCCTCCCCTCACCCTCCGCCTCTTAAGCTGTTTATGTTGAGTTCTGGTCACAAATGAAAGAATCTTGACTAATAAGGAATCCTCATGCTCCATCCACCGAGATCATCTCCTCAGAGAAGCCCTTACTCAGAGCCTTCTGGGGTTGGAGACCCCACAAGTGCCTGTCAGCTCCACCCCCTGTTTTCCACTGATGTGGGTTCACAGACACACACACACATACACATTACAGCAGAATAGCCCTTGGAGACCACCTAGTCTGTCCCTCCCCTCACATAGCTAAAGAAACCAAGGCCTAGAGAAGGGAATTGACTTGACGAAAGCTATCCTATGGGTAGTGGTGGCAAGACTGTAATTCTGAATCTCTTGACTCCCAACTCTGGGCATTTTCCGCTCTGGCCAGCACCACTAACTCTCCACTATGTGGTTTCCCAGAGCACCCCTCCGCCAGTCCCTGGATCCAGGCAGTCACCTGCCACCTTTGTAGCTGTCACCAGGCTGGGAAAAATCACAGATAAATGCACTGCAACCTCAACTGCATCCTCAGCACCTCCCAGCAGCATTCACATGCCCTCGGCCAGCTGCCCCAAGCACACATCCTGCCCCTATTCCCCAGCAGATGCTCAAAGCCCATTCCCTGGACCATCGTCCTCCCCAGCTTCTCCTCCTGTAAACTTTCTTCTCTTCAGAACAAATTCTGTGCTCTGGGTCTCCTCACTTCTAAACTCCTGGAGACCTGGCCTTGGGGATTCTCCCTCCTTTCCTGTATTTTCTATTTTTCTCCTATGCTTCCAAAACATAGTCAAGACTTCTCTTTCTAAAAATTCGTTTCCATTTCTCTCCTTCCCACTCATTCCTTCTCTGCTCTCCCATAGCAAAGCTTCTGCAAAGAGGAGTTGACACTCAGTCCCCACATCCTTCCTTCTGCTTTGGAGCTGCAATTCAGGGGAAGAAGGCGACATGCACTGCACAAACTTGGAAATGAGTGGCCATTTGAATATTTAACAGATCTACCATCGTAGAGGAGATAGAATGGCTCCGGGACCATAAATGGAACTTTAACAGTGATATTTACACATATAGGAGGTGTAAATTTTATCTGATGTATTCTCCATCTCTAGGGATTCTCCTTGCCCTGTGGCTACCCAAGCATTGAAGTATGGATGGCTCCCCATCTGCTGTTTTAGGTGATGACTAGATATGGTTTTGACTTTTGGAAGAGTAAAGTAGAAACCAAAGTCTGGAAATGCAGACTTTCATTTGAAGAGTCAGGCTTTGTGGTAAGAATAAACATTTGTAGGTTTCAAGGAACCCAAACCTGGAAAACTGAGCATATAATTTTTATCATAAGCCACAAGGAAGGGAGGATGCAAGGGCAGTTTCCTGCCTCTCAGGAAAGAGCTAAAAATTCTTCTTGCAGAGAATGAGGCTGGAGAGAGAGCAGGCAGGACAGAGGGAGGAGGGAGAGTGCACAGGGGAAGAGAAAAGTGTTAAGAGACTTTAAACACAAGCACAGAGCCTGCTGCCTGTGTACTCCCTCAGACATGACGAGAGACTCGGCCCCTGTCCTGGGGCAGTGCCATCCTATAGGCGTTCGCCTGGACTCTCGGGCAGCGTTGGACACTGTGACCAACCACTTTCTCCCTCTTGACAGTTTTCTCTCCTTGGCTTCTCATGTTTCTCATTCTTCTTTTTTTTTTGGTCTGTGTCTTTCTTGGGGTCTCTCTTTTCTTCATGCCTTCCACATTGGTGTTTCCTTCATTCAGCCCTTGGTCTTCTTTTCTTTTCTGCAGATTTCCAGTAGTTGGCACCATCTATCTCCTTGCCATCACATGCTGATGAATTTCAAAGCAATGTCTTTAAATCTGCCCTGTCCTCTGAAATTCACTCCTCTTCACTACCTACTTATAATGCCAGCTAGACTGCTCAGAAACTCTTCAAACCCAGCAAAACCAAGACCTGGTCTCCACGGTCACCAACCTCCTCCCCCTTGTTAATCCAGGTGTCTGTCAATGTCTGCACAAACCGCCTCCCTTTTCTTCAGTCCCCATGATCAGTCACTAAGCTGGTGGTAAATCACTAGGAGAAGCAGAGAATAATTCCACGTCACAATGTCACAATGCACTCTCCATGTAATCTCAAGATAACCCAGGGTCCGAATATGTCACAACATAAAGTTCAAATACCTAGAGGAAAATGAAAATCAGAAATGTAACAGAACATGAGACATAATAGTCCTTGAAGCCAGCAACATATAAAAATGTAAAGCATAATTTATGCTTCTTTTTGTTCTCAATAGTATAAAAAGCATGACATTGTCATTAAGATACAAACCAAAAACAAAGAAAGGCAAACCAGACTGAGTCCGCTATGTCTCATGTTCTGTTACATTTCTGACTTTCATTTTCCTCTAGGTATTTGGACTTTATGTTGTGACTTATTCAGACCCTGGGGGTATCTTGAGGTTACATGGAGAGTGTGTTGTGACATTGTGACGAGGAGTTACTCTCTGCTTCTCCTAGTGATTTACCACCAGCTTAGTGACTGATCATGGGGACAGAGCCCTCACTTTCAGGTTAGCTTTGCCACACGGGCACCCCCACGCTTGCACTTTCTGAGAGATGCCCACAGGCCAAGCCCTGCAGGAAATACCACTGAAGTGCATTCAGACGGCCCGCCCCACGTCTGCACTGTCACAGCCCTAGGGCTGGTGCATCTTCACCATCTTTCATCAAGGCAGTTGCAGCAGCTTCACAGCTGCCCTCCCTAGCTCAGCCTTCACCTCCCCACTTCCCACACCATGCTGCCGCCCTCAGACCTGCTGAATTCAAAATTTCCAATGGGTGAGACCCAGCAGTTGGCACTTTTAACAAAGCTCCCCAGGTGATTCTGATATATATATTCCAAACTTAGAGAATCATTGGTTCCAGAACAGAGTCCGAGTAGAGTATGGCTTTTAAGACCCCTCATACTCTAACAATGCCCACTGCCCCCACTCTAGTCCTGGCCTGTCTTCCGGCCTCAATACCTTTGTCCACTCTTCCCCTTCCCTCCCACCTCCTGGTGCATCCTTTGAAGCCTCTGCAAAGCTATTCCAGTCCCTTCCAGCTGTATGAATCCCTCCCTCCTTTAAGTTCCCATAGTACCTCAATCTCTATTCCTATTACATTTAACCCCTTTCGCCTGTGTGAGACCTTTGTGCACACAACCTTGTCTTGCAGGCTAGTTTGAAGTCAAGGACTTAAATGGCAGCACATAAATGAAGGAACAAGCAGCCTCTGAGAAGGAGACCTATCAGTATACCCAACTCCTTTCCTCATTGCCCCTTCCTGGGTGATGTCCAGGTGCTAAAGATTGTACTTCTCCTGTAGCAAGGGAGATTTTGGTTTAATGAAGGGGCCGATTTTTTTTTTTTCAAAAAGTCAAAACAAAGAAACATACTTCGACAACAATAACCAAACACCCAAACCAAGGCTGTTGGTTATCCACAGAGGGTTTATTTCCACTTTAAACCACTGGCAGGAGAAACAGAGTACAGAGGCCCCTTACAGAGTAATGAAGCATGTGATATAAAATATACAAGATATAGCATCCTCTACATGTGCCGTTCGCAGACACAGGAGTGTGTTCTGATGAACCAATGGGAAAGCAGACACTTCCCAGTTGTTTTCCTGGAATCCCTGTCCTGGGGTTCCCTGGCTGCCTTTCTCTGATGGAGATTCCCAGGAGAGAGTGTTCCAGGGTCAAGGAGGACAATTGAACCTGTGAGAGCCAGGGACAGGCTCCTGGCAATCACGGCAGCTCTGAGTGCTAGAGGGTCCTCATGCCTTCCTTTTACTGATGGGGACACCGAGGCTCAGAGAAGGAAAATGATTTGTCAAAGGTTATGCAGCCAGTTGCGGGCAGAGCTAAGCTAGAATCCAGGACTTGGCTCTCCATCTCTTTTCACTGCCTGTCACAGGTGAGTCTCTGCTTCCCTTGACCTCTGGCCCCTGGAAAACAAAGGAGTGGATCCCTCTGCACACCCTGTGGGGCAGATTCTCTGCCTGGCTCAGGCCCAGGGATGCTGGGCAGCCTGGCAGGATTTGGGTGACTCCTAATGTCTCGAGTCCACCATTTCTTCCATAGTCCTGCCCAAAAGCACAGCAGGGCTCAGTGCGGGTCTTTTCTTTTTCCAAGTAATCATCCAAGTCTTCACATCCAGGGCTGAAGCTCAGGTAGCCTTTCTAGATGATACATTTAAAGGCTGAAAAGTTGCTTTGTGCTTGTTTGGAGCAGCAGGTTGGACACCCTGTGGTGTTAGCTGGTGTTCGAGAGTGGCATATGGGCCCAAATGATGTGTTCTGAGTCAACAGTAGGAATTTAAGGGGTTTGGGGAGCCTCCTACTG